TGGATTGTATATGTGGATAGATCGATCGCTTGAGGATGTACCGCTCAAGTGATCATGATGGACTTTCTTGCTTCAATGGATGGATGTTTTATTAAGCCAAAACTGTGTCGAAAACAATGGGGAATGTTAACCATGGGTTTTCTCCATGCCCTCAGGGATGGTTTTGAAATAAAAATAAGTGTTGTATTTATTTTTATTAATCACCAAAATACCCATTATTTTAGGTGCCCATATTTGTTCCACATTTTCAAAGTCTCCTCTACTCATTTCCTTTTTCTAACCATTGAGGCAAGGGGGCCATATACATTGAGGAAGGGTTTGGGGAGAGTGGAGTGATGTACTTCTCATTCTCTCCCAACATCCTTGTTCCCTCTCTCTCACTAAGTATTTAGAGGTGCCTTGAGCCCAAGGGTGCATCTATAGCCTTTTAAGGGATACCCTAATCATCTATTATAAAGCCATCTTGCTCCATCACCTCTCTATTGCTTTTCTCTCCTTACAAAGCTACTAATATCTTCTTGATCTAGATTTTCAACAAGGTTAGGGTTGTTTGTGATGCTCTAAAATGTGGGTATACTTATTCTCTACAAGCCTTAACTTGAGCACTTTAGTGAGTTTGTTTCATGCTTTATATTTACTCATTGACTAAAATAGAGTATTCAAGTTGATTATTTGAGCAATTCTTATTATAGATAACTGCTTATAGTTATTATGTGATTGAAAATATATGCATGTGAAGTGTTTGACTATATATTAAAGTGGGCTACTAATATGGATTAATATACAATTAGATTAAGATCAAAGTCATATTTTAAACCTCACTTTAATATATAGTCAAATATTTCACATGCATATGTCTTCAATCACATAATAACCATAAGCATGTATCTACAATAAGAGTTCCTCAAATCAACTTGAATCCTCAATTTGTTATCATCAATTTCATACTCTATTTTAGTCAAGAATCATAACAAGATGAGCAAATATAAACTATGGAATCAACTCACCAGAGTGCTCAAATTAGGACTTGTAGAGAACAAGTATATCCATATTTTAGAGCATTACAAGCAACCCTAACCTTGTTGAAAGTCTGGATCAAGAAGATATTAATAGCTTTGTAGAGAGAGAAACGCAATAGAGAGGTGATGGAGCAAGATGACTTCATAATAGATGATTAGGGTATCCCTTGAAAGGCTATAGATGCACCCTTGGGCTCAAGGCACCTCTAAATGCTTAGTGAGGGGGAACAAAGATGTTGAGAGAGAATGAAAAGTGCATCATTCCACTCTTCTCAAACCCTTCCTCAGTGTATATGGCCCCCTTGCTTCAACAGTTAGAAAAAGGGAAAAGGTAGAGGAGCCTTTGGAAAAGTGGAACGAATATGGGCCAAGTAAAAAATGGGTATTTTGGTGATTAATAAAATAATTATCTTTATTTCAAAATTGCCCCTAAGGCTATGAAGGAAACCCATGGTTAACATGAAGAATGGTTCACTGTCATTCTCATGTTTTCTGGACATACACTTCCATCTTGCTTATCAGTCTTTGGAGGAGCAAATTGTTTCAAGTCTATAAATATGTTGTGCGTAGAAATAAAAATTCTTTTTGTTTGGGGACAATAACATCTCTAGCCTTTATGATCATCTGAGAGTCCCACAAAAATACATGTTTTGGCTTTAGGATCAAGTTTTTTCCGAAGGCTATCTTCAATGTGGACATACACCAACATCCATAACTCCTCAAGATAGAGTAGTCAGGATTTCTTCCAAGTAATGTATGGCATGGAGATTTTCGATCCAATACATCAGTTGGAAGTCTATTATCAAGAAGATAACTATATGGAAAGCTTCAGTCCACAAAAACTTTGGAATTCCACTAGAAAATATAAGAGATAATCCAATCTCATTTATATGTCTATATTTCCTTTCTCCACATTTGTTGTGAAGTATAAGGACAAGAAACTTGTTGCTCTATCCTATTGTCCTCACGTAATTTTAAAAGTTTTGAGACGAGCACTCTCCCCTCCATCACTACAAAAGTATAAAATTTTCTTATAGAAGTATGTTTTAACATACAATTTCAAACATCTCAAACACATGAGATATTTTGGTATGAAAGAAAATCCATTTAGAGCTTGAGAACTCATTAACAAATATCACATAATATTGGGAATTGGAAGGAGATGCAGTTGACGCTAGAGCCCATACATCAAAATGCACTATCTCATGAAGAAGAAGCTTTTTTATTAATAGAAACATATGGAAATTTGATATGTTTTCCCAATTGACAACTTGACAAATAAACTCACTAGGACGACCAATATTACATGAAAAAAGTCCTGGTTTACACAACATATTTAAAGACCTCAAAAGATATTATACTCCCTAAGGTGTATATTGTCCATTTTGTCCCACGGGTAATATCCTACCTAGGATTAATTTTAGGACCCCAAATTTTGGGGATATAACCTCTCCAGTCCAATAGATTAATCTCAATAAAAATAAATTTCCTAATTACACCCTCTACACACTTGAAAAAATAATGTCTCAAGATTGAATAGAGGCTGTTCAATTTTTTAGAGGTTGAGATTTAGAAAACTCAAATTGCTAATTTTTTTCTTTTGAGAATAATCATCTAGTGATTCTAAGGTGTTTCCCAAAATTTCAAATTGAAAAACTACACCCAAGTAGGTCTTCCATTCGAGGGAGTAAATGCAAACTATGCTCAACCGGGAGTATAGTATACATGCTCTTTAAAGACTTCATACTACAATGACCCAATCTGTGATGTTGCATATTGGCATCCTTACTAACACAACAAGACAACCAGAGTTTTGAATTTCATTCGTTGTTATGTTGTCCCTTTATTATTGAACACAGTTTCATGCTTAAGAAATAGGGGACCTGATTTTACAAACGTGGAATATGGTGGTCTAGAGTTAACACTAGTACCAAAAGTCTCATATTGGTCTCTAAGACCCTTCAAGGCAATATGCACTTTGTCAGTATCATTGACAGAATGCTGAATCATGGTAAGTTGGTCACCTAATCCTTTCATTTTGGCCATTTTTATTCATATATAGGTTTATCTTACTTTTTTGCAACTCAAAAGTTTGTCTCAAGTGCATTAGACCTATATGAGGCTGTTGGGTGTATGATTTTTGTAAGGCCTTCCATAATTTTTCCGCAGGATCTATATCGAGCGCTTCTGCCAGTATATTCTTTTGACGAGGTAGAATTAATCCGTCACACTAATCCTTGATCCTTGAAAAACCAATCATCATATTCATGATTAAGGCTTACAACTTTTCTCTCTGTCCTTCGGTACTTACTTCCTCTTTGGTGATTAGCTGTGGTGGTCCCTTGCACAATCCATCGATGTACCCAACAATCATAAGCTTCTGATGCGACGAATCATAACTCGTTTCCATCCAATGAAATTGGAAGGAAAAAGTTCGATGGTAACTTTTGGGAGTTGAATATTGGGGAGACTTGAAGATTCCATGGGATCGAACGAGCAGAAGTAATGGAAGTAGTTTTTTGTTTTTCATAAGAAAAGAGATGTACCATTCAAATGTGAACAATAACAAAGATTTATTGTACACATGTTCATGTCAAAATACATAATTTAGAGTGGAGAAGAGATTTAGGATTAAGAGAGATCTAGGGTTTTATGCCTAGGATTTGATGCCAATGGAATAGAAGAGATTTAAGGTAAAGGATTTAGGGTAAAGAGATATTCAGAGAAGAATAGATTTTGGGTTTAAGGAGATCTAAAAATTTAAAGGGTACAGATTTAGCGTTCTTGTCAATATTGACAATAACGCAATGGATCTAAACAATGATGACAAAGAAAATAAATAAATTAGCTATTTTGATGCCTTTGAGCAATGGGTCACGTTAGTGGTTGAACCTTGTTCTAACACCGTGTTAATTATCACCTTGAATATTTGAGAGAGAAGAACAAGTTGTGGTGTAGGTAGAAATGGATGAAGTGAAAGCCAAAAGAAGAGTGATGTGATGCCTTACTCCTTCAAGAGTGAGGGCTGCAGCAAATATTATATTTATATTGTTTCTAACCCTAATTAATTGAGAGTTAGATAATTGTGCAAATAAATCCAGAAATAGCAGATTTTTGCTTTACCATGAACATAAACTATAAATACAAGAATAAGTTACCAATAAGTCTTTATGTCAATGCAGATCATTAACCATTCTTTGTAAATGTAACTGGAAGTCCAAAGTCCTAGATATACTCATAACTATGCTCCCACGTCAGAACTGGGAAAACTCTGTCATAAATAGATTTAATTCACTTTTATTTAATTATTGTGACAAATAAATAGGTCGTGAGTAGTTGTTCAAATGGCCTTATTTTACCCCATGAAAACATTAATAAAATACATGATATATTGTGCATGTATTAATAACACTACACCTCATAATTAAGAACCCTAAATGCTGTGCATAGGAGTATGTCCAAGTCAGATCAAGCTTGGAATATCTGCTCTTGTAGACCTTGTAGAGCATTATCTCTTTTCTTCTTCTCACAATAGATGGGTGACCATAGAAGTTCCTTCACCTCTCTGATCTCTTCTCCAACCCCTCGCATGCAGGGGCTCATCTCTCATCTTCTCGTCCCTGTGAGTCTTTTTGGCCATGAATATCTTGAACCAGGTCCAATTGTGTGTGATTTGCCTTTAATTTTACTACCACCATTGTGGTAATTATTCCCTTTTGTGATTCACTCTTCCTATTTTTCTGCGTCATAATTCTGTTCAACCCTGCAGCGGTTGAGAGGCTGAAACAATTGATTGATTTAATTGTTGTTGTGTTTTTCTTGTGCATGTATGCATGCTTTTGTGCATTCCATATATTTTGGATGTCATGGCTTTTCTCTTTATGTTTCAGCTCCCTTTATATTGCTCATGAATAATAGAATACTGTAATTCTCATTTTCTTTCTATTCTTAAAGCTATGTACTTTCTAAACTAGTTGTAAGATACAAGCGGAATGGTCTTCTACCAATGCTAAAAAGGAATTCAAGTGTCAAACTGGCACCTCAACGTTGGCAAGAAAATGCTGCTGATGGGTCTTTTGATGTGGTATTTTCGTTTGAAGAAAGGGTTTTTGATATGGTTGTTGAAGGTTTTTATTTTGCTCTAGGCTTTTCTAAGATTTTATATTTTACATAGTTCTCATAGATTTTTTTTTTTGTGGTTAATTATTCCCCATGAGGTCATTTTTTGATGTTTACATATGTTATTAGCCATGGCAATACTAGGATTCTGAGTTGGACATGCTCTTTTTTGCTGTATCCGTTGAATATTAGCAAGATTTCTAATTGCTCCTTTACTCACGTGTTCATATGATTCACATGAATCCATGTAACAAGTGCAAGCATCTGACACATTTTGGCATTTCTGACACCGAGTATCTTGTACACTGCCGATACTTCTATCCATCAAGAATGTCACGATTTTTTGTCAGACAGACTTTATGTTGTGGGCATTAACACAGTTGTCCATAGTTCTGAATGTGTCTGGATGCCCATACATTGAACATGCTTATTGATTTTTAAATTTAAGGAAAATTAATCAATATAACCACCAGATATGAATTATTTTACATTCTACCCATTTGCAACGATTCCAACGCATGATGATGTGCTTTTTTATGGTAATTTTGAAATGAAATCAAAAGACATGGGCAGAATGTTAAATAATTCATCTCAAATGAGTTTCAGAATGGGCTGGGGCCTTAGTGGTATTACTATCTAGTCTCATGAATGAAGTCTCGGACTCCATTCTCACCAAAAGGTAGATGCCCACTAATACACCAAAAAAAAAAAAATCTCTAATTCTAGTTGTTTTCTTATTTATTCATTGGGATCTGGGAGCACATTCTGCTGCTCAAATTTTAGTTATCCAGTCACTGTTTTGATTGTGCTATCTGGAACATGGTTGGAAATGCGAACTTGGAAATTGGTTTTAGCATCTAAAATTTTGGGTGGATTATTACAAAATTGAGTGATTGTATGTGCGCGTCAAGTAATATTCCAGTTTTTCTAAATTTACAAATATATATGTATGCAAGAGTTTTTTTTTCCGAGAATATACAGTCAACTTCACTTAAAAAAAAGTATGGACCAGTGCATATGCTGACACTTCAGCAATGTGTGAATGCATTGTGCCTGAAATGCCATATTTAGTGAGCCATATGAAAGGCATCCTGTCCTAGGCAGACATCAAAACTTGAGTCAATGTGCTAGTGTCATAGGGCAACAATCGGTTTCATCAATTGACCAAAATCCCAATTAATTAATATTGACTCATCGATGTTATAGCTACCCTACAGGACATTCTTCTAGACTCCACATATTCTTAGGAATAATCATATATTGGTTACTATTTGCCCAAAAATAAATATACTGCTTACTGAATAACAAATTGGTTTTTGAGTAGCTAATTGACTCTCTAACTTTTAGATGTCTTTTGATAGTTCAGTTCACTTTTGGCTGTAGTCCCCTTAGATATCGTGTCTTTTGTATTGTTTTTTTTAATAATATATCTTTTTTTTGTATTGGTTCAGGCAATAGGAAGAAATCAAGTATTGATGAATTAAGTCATCTGTTTGAAATCGATTTCTGTTGAATTGTACCATCTTTTTATCATATGACATGGGAATTACTTTAAAACATTATAAAATATTTTCCAGAGGCAAGAATGATTCTTGAAGAGCAATGGATATTTCGAGCATTTAAGTGGTAGAACATAACCCCTTCTATTCTGACTGCATTGTTACACAGACCTTCATAACCGGGAACATGCACTGATGAAGACCGTTTTGGTGATCAATTTGGATGTAAAAGACAACCATGAAGAAGCAGCTGTGGGAGCCAGGCTTGCTTTGGATTTATGTAAGGAGGTGAGAAGTGATCAAGTTCTTGTTGCTCCTTTACGAGTGGAAAAGGCAATCTATGTCTACTTTGATTTGATATTGGTGCTGATGTGTTATTGTTATAGCTTGAAGCAGCGGAGTCTTGGGATGATACAATCGATGAAATTGTACCAGCCTTTGAGAGGCAGCACAGGAGGAAGCTCTTGTACAGTATTTCCTTCTACTGAGATCTGCACCTAAGCACAAGGAAGTTACACTGCTAACTCACCTATATTTACTGGGTATATTGTTCTTTACTAATTTCTATGTAAAATTTTGTGTGATGTTATTTTGGTACAGCCTCAAGAAGGCTGATGTTATCATTATAATTATTTAAGTTCTATGGCATTGTTTTGAAAAGAAGATAAAACTTCCACATAGACCATGATTGATTACTAGGAAAGGAAAATATTCTCAAAGCTTTTTTTTAAAAGGATAAAAAAAAACATTGCTGCTCCTGCAGGAGCATTAGAAAATGTACACTATACGGATTAAAAAATGCTTCAAGTTTCCTTATGATGCGGACGCTTGAAGGGAGCACATTTAGCCTTCAACAGTTCAGATTGAATTTAGTGGCATCCAATGAGAAAATAATTCTATTTTTTATTTTAATTTTATTTAGAAATTATATTTATCGTAGCTACATTTTTATGGCACACGAAATAAATCATGCCCTTCAAACATTAGAGGCGTTACGGTTGAGTTTTATTCAAAATATTTTATTTATTATTTCACGTTGGTACAACATATAAAAAAACCCAAATTTTAGGTAAACATAATTTTGAATAAAAATAAAAAATAAAAACAAAATTGTTTTGTGGCCGTTAGATGTGGCCCTACTCATATCTTGTTGGAAGGGTGCTTCAGCCACAGATTTCCTCTCAAAATACTCTTGCAACTGTGATTTGGAGGGGGCAGAAAACCTTCGAAGTCTGGTCCTTTCCAAATACGGATTTGGGCCTGTCGTTTGCATGGGTGGTGATTCCATTTGGAGCTTATGTTGCTCCATAGAAACAGGAGCACGATCAGGTGCTTTGGAGGTTCTTTTTATGGCACTCAACACGAGTTTGTGAACTAGTATTTTTATTTGCTTCACTTGAAATTTGAAATTTAATTTCCGTTGTTTAATGAAATAAATAAATAAAAGTGTATAAAGGGACTACTTACTTTTAAGACAAGGTGGTCACGATGGCTTTTGTCATTCATATTTTAAATTGGATTGTTGTGAGCATATTATTGATTGGACTTCAAAAAAACATTTCTCGAAACATTTCAAGCCATCCACTTTGACATCTAATTGATAGCAGTAATTCTTACATCTTTTTATGAAGATAAATGGTTTCATAGTATGCAATCCCATAAAAAAAATTATGTTTTTTTTCACTAACAATCTTTTAGCACTTATCTTTCCGTTTCCCTTATTTTGGATTTCGGGGTTTTGGAACCAAGACCATCATCTTTTCTAAGGGACCGGTTGGGTACCTCGAGATGCCTGTCCCAGAGATAGGTCTCTCTTGGAATTCGCTTCTCCTGGAATCAGCTATTCTTGAGATATAGGGGTCTAATTGTTTGGATAGTATCTAGTAAGAAACCTAGAAGATGCATGTTCATGTTTACATTCCTTGGGAGACGTGACTCCCACAAATTCAATGCTAGCTTCTTCTTTTTTTAATATGTTTACTTCATTTATTTTTTATATTAAGCAACAAGCTTCCCATTTTTATTCGAATATTTGCTGTTGTTTCTTGACTTTAATTTAACACTTATTTGTATTTTTCTTTCCAATATTATCTTTATTTAGCAATTTTACAAAGTTTCTATATCCCCAATCTATTAGAAAGGTCTCAAAATATTCAAAGAATAAACCATGTAAGACGTTTATTTTTCGAACTACACAATTTTTCAGTCACTACTCCATTATGCAGAGAAATACTAGTTTTGTTTTTTAAACTACACAATTTTTTAGTCACTATTCTATTATCAGTGTATTTAGAGTTCGAGACTCCGCTCGGACTCGTCCTATGGGCGAAGTGAGTTTTATCTAAATAGGTTGTACCAATTTGTAAATAGTAAATACATATCATTATGGTAACGATACATTATAGATGCTTGAATGGCCTTTTGGATAGTGTATATGCATGCTTTTCGACGTGGCTGGGGTGCGATTCCCCCAAGTAACACTTCCCTACTCTTGTAGACCTCTTTCTTTTTTCCTTCTCTTTTCTTTTCTTTTTTTTTTTTGTTAGGGTTAAGAAATGAGAGCTGAATGAAAGAAAAAAAAAACAAAAAAACAAAAAACAACACTTGTGGCAGTCGAACGTATGAATTGTTAAAACGAAACATACAAAGGCAGATGATGAATCGGCACGACATTTAACATCTTATGTTAAAAAGTCAAGCAGGTTATTGTATTTATTTTGTATTTCTTTAAAAAAAAAAAAAGGCATTGCAATCGGGTGAGTTATTCTATCCGAGTCGATCTTATGAACACTGTTCACTGTTAAGGGAAATACTACTTGCATATTACAAGGTCAACAATTCCATTACACGGTCTCCCTTTCTCTCTCGTTTTCATTTTATATATATTAAAAATTATAGAATGTGACCATTTACCTTTGATATATATATTTGTATATTTGTGCAAGAGAGAGGAAAACTATCATTTTCTAAGGGAAAAATTTTGTAATAAATAATGAAATTGATTATTTGACCAGGTCCAAGCTTGAAATGGAACTTAAACCCCAACATGTTGTTGTTGGCTATTCTAATTGTCATCTTCGCTACATACAAACTGCTCCAGTCTAATATGATAATGAGTGAGAGAGAGTGAAAGCATCAAATGACCAACGAAGAGCAAGTTGAGATGAAAAATTTTGTTAAAAAAATCTTTTCTTTTAGGGTATGTCCATGAAAGATTACAAATTTTGGTATACAACAAACGAAATTTATAGATCTCTTGCACAACTATTTTGGACAACACAATAAGACGATTGCGAGAGGCAGCAACGCGTTTGGAC